CAATGCCTGCACTTTAAAGGAGTGGTTTGGGATATTGGCAGTTTGGAGGGATATGTTGTGTATCTTTATACGTATATGCTTCTAAACTGTTGTATTCTGAGCACCTCTGCAAAAGCAGTGATAATGTGTGAGTGTGGTGAAAGTGTTGAATGATGATGAAAGTATTTTCTTTTTGGGGATTTTCTTTCTTTTTTGGGTCACCCTGCCTCGGTGGGAGACGACCGACTTGTTGAAGAAAAAAAAATATATATATATTATATATATATATATATATATATATAATATATATATTATTATATATATATTACACATTAACTCTCTGTATATGTAGATCATACTTTTGTGTATATTGCTAACTGCATTTTAGTTGTTACATCGATTAAGTCACATATGACTGAAATGGATGTCTTGGTGGCTAACATGAAAAAAAAAATAGAATGTACAGCGTAAAGCAGATAACCTATTTAAGAAAATGCAAGGTGAACTACAATGTTTCCTTAAATGGTGACTTAAATATTGGTTTCGCATTTTTTGCAATGCCCAAAATGCATTGTATTACTAGTGACTTTGTGCTTACCAATGTTTTATTACATGTAAACTGCATTATTTGTAAAGCGTTAAGGATGTCTTGATTATTTTTTCTGATAAAAGCAGCGAAGCATTAATGGAATAATTAGAGAGAAATCTTATATACGTATCTAAACACAGGCTGTCAAATTTATTTTCTAAACTAAATAATGCTTCAACTCCATTAATTGTTTTGATTTAAGCTTCAATAATACTAATATATTAAATCTAACCTGATTCACACTCTGAACGCAGACACTATAAAATACCAAAATGATCTTCAGAAATTATTTAGAAAAAGGAGGGTTGAATACATTGTTTGAGTCTTTCAATGAGAGTTGAAGATTGAGACACTTATGCAGCATATGGGAATCTTTATTCAGGAAACGTTTCGCCACACAGTGGCTTCATCAGTCCAATACAAAGAGGAAGGCGTAAGGAGAGGAGGAGAATGAGGTAATCAGTCCCTCAACCTGGAGTCGATGTGTTCAGTCCATCAATCTTGTAGATTGATGGACTGAACACATCGACTCCAGGCCGAGGGACTGATTACCTCATACTCCTCCTCTCCTTACGCCTTCCTCTTTGTATTGGACTGATGAAGCCACTGTGTGGCGAAACGTTTCCTGAATAAAGATTCCCATATGCTGCATAAGTGTCTCAATCTTCAACTTGTCGGTTTTTCAAACCATTCATCACAATGAGAGTTGTTTGGTGCAGATTATCATTGTGAATGGTTAAAAAAAATGTAAAAATTCTGTCGTCCTGAAATGGCGAGCACAATATTTTCTTCTAGATGCTAAGCTTAATTATAAGGATCATGGTTCGGCTTCTCATCTAATTTACTATGCCCTCATTCACAAGCTGAGCAACAACATAAATGCCAATAGATTGTAAATGATACAGCCGCTGTAATTCCTATGGGTGTTATAGACTAGATAACCACGCCGCAGTCAATTAGAGCATTTGAGTAGGAAAAACCGGGGCTAACATTCACGCTAGGGCTATTTTAGTGCTGATTCAATAAAGACAAATTTTCACACCGGATCAACAGTTTCAGTTTTACGTTTGTGTCCAACACTTATTATGTCATATTAGAAAAGACAGCATATATATTCCAAAAGCTGATTCTATTGCGAGTCCACAACTGCAACAATCTTGTTGAATCGGCTCCAGTATACCACATCCCTAATTAGACTCTTACCTCAGGCGTTAATTAATGCCTCTCCTATTATATTCATAAAAATGGGCCGTCCAGTAATGCCTTCTCAATACACTTTCAATAGCTGTAATTGCCAGAACTCGTGATTTGGCACGGCGTAACAGTTTTATCTCTTTACACTGCAAAGGAACGTAATCAGTAAATGAAGTAACTGATTAATCTCCTTCCTCTTTTCTTTACTGAAAGGAAGCTGTCATAAAGGACTTTGTGCACGCGTTAGGCCAGGAAGATTGGTCAGTCTCTGACTGACAAGCCCCAAGTGTTGACGTCAAAGCCTTTATGTAGTGGATGTGACGTGACGTTAAATTCTTATTTACTTCGGAATGCTCTGTCCCATTTTGCATTATTTTTTTACGTAATAATAAAAGGTCAATCTTTTTACATTCTCTTGTAATACAGCTTTAATTCCGTAAAAAAAAAATGCGGACTTTTTAAAATACAACACACACAATAGAATTTTCAGAGGAAAATAATAGGACTATTCAGTCAGTCTCTAGCTAAAAAAAAATTAGCACGTACTTCTAAAAGCAAATTTATCGTCGTTGTTTCACTAGGTGAGGGGGAATAAGCACCACCGGCCCACTTACACTCCTCTGACACTATTTACGTCTATTGCACACCTGCTGCCTCCGTCATCATGCTCCCTCTTCCCGCCCCTCCCCCATTCTACTCACATTCACAACTGTTGCCAAACTAGTGTTTTCCTATATAATTTCTAAGTGTAAATTAATCCAACTTTAATCCACTGTTTAGAGTTGTCCTGGTTAGATAGTTCAGCACTTTACTTATATCCTCTTATCTACCATTCTAATATCTTTACTACCACTGCTGCTACCATTACTACAAGTATCTCGCTCCATGTCACCTGAATTTCCTAGTTGTATCCGTATTAGGACTGAAGAAGGTACTCATGGCGAAACTTTCTTTAATAATTGCCTTTAACTGTACTTATATCTTTATCCACGCAATTGTCCTATTTTGTCTCACAAACGAGTACAGGCTCATTGTTGTCTTACTTCAAAGTTTATTGATACAGGGAATTAACAGACTTTACAGTCTTAGTATAGCCATGGGACTTTTGGACAAATTCAAACAGGCAACTGCCTTGCCTTCAGGATTATGTTTCTCAGTACTCTCATTTTTTATGAGCCATTTCTATGATATTTATTCGTTCATCTCGGTCGATTATGTAGATTGAGGACATGGAGTCCATCACTCTGTGATCATGTATGATTTGTTTTAATCAGGTCATTCATAATAAGTCTTTGGGCTATCATTTTGTATGTGTCAAGATAAACAAAAGAAACCATACCCCCGGCCGGGATTGAACCCGCGGTCATAGAGTCTCAAAACTCCAGCCCGTCGCGCTAACCACTAGACCAGCTAGTGGCTAGCTGGTCTAGTGGTTAGCGCGACGGGCTGGAGTTTTGAGACTATGACCGCGGGTTCAATCCCGGCCGGGGGTATGGTTTATTTGCAATCGTGTCATTACGATTTCTTAAGTCATGTAAACAAAAGAATATAGGAATGGTGGAACACTACTATAGCACTACCAGCAGGTTCAACCTCACCCACCCATACCTACTCATGTACTCACCTGTCCAACATTTTTGAAGCTACTCAAAGTTCTTGCCTCAATGATGCTATCCTGAAGCTTCTCATCCACAACCCACACTGCTAAACAAATGCCTTCCTATATCATTGCTTAACCAATTGTTTTCCCAATTCGAATTCATTATTCCGAGTTGGAGATCAACTTCGTCATCCTTGTTCAGTAAAAAGACAAATGCCGCATTAGTTGCATTTGTGTCCTTGTACTTAACACATTGTCGGTAATTCTACCAATATTAATACATTCGTCATCCTTCTCTAATGTGTTTTTCGACAGGCAATAAAATGGAAACGGAGACACAAACGAGCTCTTCACTGACTTTACTGGTTAATAAAGGTTCACATTATACTGTATTTGTAAACATAAGAATGGAGTAATACTACACCAGGCCTACTGGCCTATACACGAGAGGTCCTTATCAAAACCACCCATTCCCACTCACTATTTGTTTCTATTGGGTCAGTATTTTATACCATTTCTCCCCAGACAAAATAAAAAAACGTTGAAAATAAGGCAGGTATGGCATTATAATAAGCCATCCTAAATTAGATTTATAAAGGATATGTTCTTATGAAAACGTAATTAAGAAAATGTGATTTTGGTGCCATTTTTCTAACATCCCTGCGCAAATTAGAATCCCTAGGTTATTAACCTAACGAAGCAACGTGTACTACGCCTTATTTTCATTCGTGTCCTCCCTTAGGATGCGACTCGATAATCTACTCATATGTACTAGACGAACATGAGCAGATGTAAGGAGGCTTCTCTCAGCTCGCTCGGAAATCTGATCCTGATTCTTTTAATTGAATCAAATGTTCTACCAGGGTTTACTATTACTAAGTGCCAACATTCTAGTTGTCTTAATAATCACTCAGACTGGAACAGAATAAAAATATCGGAAAAATTATCCAAACTCCGATTACAAGTGAATGGTACAATTATGGACACCAAGAACGTTTATGCGAATCCAGTGAGTTTTTATTAGATAATGAGTTATTACAATTGTAATTCCCGCGTACATAAATTTTAATGCATAAACTCGAATAATTACTACTACATTCATGGAAGTGCGCTGACCCATACAGCGTCTAGAGAAACGGTAGGTATTTAGGTTAGCTTCAAGTTATTAGAGCACAAACCCAACGCCTCAGATCAAGGGAGACATCTCAGTGTGTAGTTTATCGATATCTGTCAATCAAATTCTAAGATTTTGAACCCAAAATTATTAAGGCTTGGGTTGTACATTTGATCCAGGCCAAGATGAACATGGATTATATATTTTAGCCAAGTTGTATGAATGCACCTAGGAAATTTTAAGTAAAAATCTGTCAGTTTAAAAAAAATAACCTCCTTAATTCACTCTTTCGAGATATTTCTGATCCCATGTCTGACAGAACCAGACCGAGGCTCTTACTGCCAGTGTTTGAAACAGTCCTGAACTACATATAATATAAAAATCATTGGGTTTAAATTAAAATAGTAATTTTTGGACGGTTTCACCCACGTCTTGCATCGTCACACATTTTGTGATGTTATCACACCTATAGTGTCCAAGCAGGGAAGGCAACAAAGGAGGATCTATTAAATACTGATACTTACCGATAAGGATGGCTCCCAACACTTCGAATATAGTTGCCAGGATGCAAGCTTTGCGTAGGGTCAGCACACCAGAGCCCACAGACGTGCCAAAGGAATTAGCAACGTCATTGGCTCCCACGCCGAAGGCCAATATAAAGGCGATGATGAAGCCAGCTATGACGAAGGGCAAGAGCTCCTCTGCGAAGGGCTCCATTGTGTTTGTGTGTGTGTGTTGAAAAGGACGAGAGAAACCCGAAGTGACTACGAAGAGCTTTGAGACGTACTAAAGTGAGCAGTCTTATACTAAAGTGATAGTATTTAAATTAAAATATATCTAGAGTTAGGAACCTTGAAAATAGATTTAATATTAAAGAATATCGAATATAGTATTACTTTATTCTTAACTGGGTGAGAATGGGATGTACTGAATATAACGTAAGAATGAGATGACAGGTAACAAGAAAGCTGCGAGTGTAAAAATATGGAATGAGTGGAAACGATTGAAATAGATTAAGATGAAAGTGTGTGTCACAGGAGTGTGTGAATGTGGAAGGAGCAGGCGAGGGAGTAGCTCCGAGCGGAGACCTGCGGGAGGAAGAACTTATCAGATGGTGATTCACTTACCTAGAAGAACAGAGCCCAGGATCTCTGCCACAGTAGCGATGATGCATGCCTGCCGTAGTGTCAACACCTTCGCTCCTACGCTCGTGCCGAAAACGTTAGCAACGTCGTTAGCACCCACGCCAAAGGCGAGTATAAACGCCAGGATGAATCCAAATATTATAATCCAGAGTGTGGAGGAGTGCCATTCAGCCATGGAGGAAGAATCAGGGAGGCTGGGTACGAGTGTGGTGGTGGAGATGATGTCCAGGCTCGGGGTATCAGCGTACGCGGCACCCATCACCAGGGCCACTGATAATAGTGCCACTACTCGCATTGTACTCAATATTCAAAGTTCAACGCGAAAAGAAGCACACGACACGAGCAGGAGGAGTGGACCACGTGGGTCTGGCTGGCAGCTAATGCGGCGATGTGTGGCAGCTACCTGACTAGAGTGGGACGAGTGACCAAGTCTTACTGCAGCTCGCAGGCCTCCCAGCCTTTATATACCCATCCTCACTATGACCACGCCTTACCCTCCTGCCGGAGCCCCGCCTACTTCAAAGACCACAGCTCTGCACCCCATAATATTTTATATAGCCTCTAACATGGATGCTCAGAAAGACTGACAAACTTAACTGACATGTGATAACGACCTCGAAAGTGAGACCAGAGGTTACAGGCTTGCTTCTTAGCAGTGGGCTTACATACTTAACAGGTACGTGCTACTTCATGCCCAGCGTATCACGGGGCCCCCACCGGCGCAGAACAACACCTACCAGGGTGTTGACTCCACGACATTTTGACTACCAGCGACACTATTTGGCGACCGCAATGTTGTTCCGAGTCCCTAGTACCAGTGCTGCTGTAGTGCATGGGCAATTCTACTAGTGCTGTGATGCAGCTGTAGTGTACAAACCATTACCCATATGATAAAAATGTGAAGAATAAACTAGTGCGGCAATAACTAGGACGTACACACGCGTTTATATACTCATAGGTCGAGTCCTGCCCATATGTCACAAGTGACGTCAGTGTTCAAAAACTAAAATCAGTTTGAGTTAGACCTGCCTAACATGGGCCGGTAGTCGTGCTGCAGTGCTCCTTTATGTTCTTAAACTCAAGATTACGATACCCAGTAGCTCCGTTGCGCGAGTCTCCTCAATCTTTTTTTTTTTACAGAAGTTGTTTACATGACATGCCTGTTTTTATATTACACTTCATCTCAACACCTGTGTTTTATCCCACATGTTATTCACTTTGTAATACTCTTAAATAGCACTCCCTGATAGAACATTAAAATGGTATAAAATACCGACAGGTTGTTAGGTAAGACACATATGCAACAGTTAGGTATCTTTATTATGAAACGTTTCGCCTACACAGTAGGCTTCTTCAGTCAAGTACAGAAAAGTTGATAGAAGCAGAAGATACTTGAAGACGATGTAATCAGTCCATCACCCTTAAAGTTTTGAGGTGGTCAGTCCCTCAGTCTGGAGAGGAGCATTGTTCCATAGTATGAAACAATATGGAACAATGGAACAATGCTCCTCTCCAGACTGAGGGACTGACCACCTCAAAACTTTAAGGGTGATGGACTGATTACATCGTCTTCAAGTATCTTCTGCTTCTATCAACTTTTCTGTACTCGACTGAAGAAGCCTACTGTGTAGGCGAAACGTTTCGAAATAAAGATACCTAACTGTTGCATATGTGTCTTACCTGTTAAGAACATGTGATAAACGGTTTAGAACATATGGAGGAACACTACAGCAGGCCTACTGGCCCATACTAGGCAGGGCCTTCTCGAACCCAATCCCACTAACAAAAATGTCTGCCCAGCCCGTTTTCAATGTTACCTGCGGAATATGCTTTGATAAGAACATAATAATGGAGGAACACTGTGCATATCTCTTGTCTACTTGTTGGAACTGCATAACACTGTTATAACAATACTTGATAGATGATGTTCAGTCTTCATGAACCTGACTCGGCAAGGATCAACAGTCATCAATAATAATGGAATCATGCTTCAAACTATTACTTCATATCCTCCTTCGTCTCTTCTATATTCTCTGTATTGAATTATTACGCGTACTATCTTGTTATACATCACTTATTCCTTAAGTGAATGTGACCTGGCCTGACTAGGTTAGGGCATTGGCTTAAGCCGGTAGGAGACTTGACCTGCCTCGCATGGGCCAGTAGGCCTGCTGCAATGTTCCTTCTTTATGTTCGCCGCCACTAGTAACACCTAGGCTGTGGATAATAAGTTATGGCTCCATGGGTTGGAGGTAATTTTTTTCACAAAGGTCATCTCCACTGTTATGGTACTGCGTGCTGGTCGGGTGAGGCAGCTTTATCTTTCCCTGATTCACCACTCCCACCACCGAGTCAATAACCTGACCAAGACACCTCAGATACTTCACCCCTACATTCACTCGCCTCTCATAAGATCACTGCAAAGGCTTACTAAGAATTTACACAACTATTCCCACGTATGTCTAGCATACTCTTACAACTAAGTGCCTGCTTCAATGAGGCTACATGGACGCTTACTTTTTGTTTTGCTAATTAGCCAATAAGTCTTTTGATAAAAAAAAAAAAAACACTAAGAAACAGACCTGGTCGTTAAGGCTGGGTCATCATTGCAGTCTCAAGCTGCAGAAACACACGCCCTCACATTGCTTCACCACTGCTGATATTTCATCCAGCTTCCTGTGACCTATTTCCTACATCCTTGACCTTTATCCTACACCTCTGTCAAAGTACATAGAGTAAATCAAATACCAACAGACTACTGCACCCGAATGAAACGTTTTATACTAGAAAGGCTAAGTAATACAAGTAGCAAATTTGAAGTAACTCTTCGATCTAGGTTCATATATAGAATAAGCATAAGAAGTCTATGGACAATATAAGCACACTGAGGCAATAGTTTTTATAACCTTTTACTCCTGTGCAAGTTGATTGTTCTACCATACTGTATTACTACTACGACTAATATTACTACTACTACCACTAGTATTTTGCAGATGAATGGTTCAGAGAACCGACATGTTGATAAATTAGACACATGTGCAACATGTTGCACATGTGTCTAATTTATCACCACTAGTATTACACCTCACTCTAAGCCTATATATACCCTCTGTATCCATGTATTGTTTGTAACGGCTTGATAAAGCTCCTGGAGAGCAAAACGTTGCCACAATAAAATGACACATTAGCTGCACTTGTTCCCTGTACGTTCTAGCAAGAACTATGAACAGTATGGTATAAACCTTGGTAATAAATACCGACAAGTTGGTTTAGAAAGACACGTAAGCAAACACTGACATATTTATTAGAAAACGTTTCGGTCCTGGGACCTTGATCACTTCTAACATGTTGATAAATTAGACACATGTGCAACTCTTGGGTATCTTTACTAAGGAAACGTTTCGCCACACAGTGGCTTCATCAGTCCATACGTAAAGTAAAAGGACACAAGTGCAACTAATGTGACATTTATTGTGGCAACGTTTCGCTCTCCAGGAGCTTGATAAAGCTCCTGGAGAGCGAAACGTTGCCACAATAAATGTCACATTAGTTGCACTTGTGTCCTTTTACTTTACATATTGTCGGTAATTCTACCAACTTTATTACAGTCCATACGTAGGAGAAACTTGAAGAACAGGAGGAGAATGAGGTAATCAGTCCCTCAACCTTGAGTCGATGTGTTCAGTCCATCAGTCTTGAATAGAATACGGCATATGAGCGGAGAAGCAGTTTATAAACCGTATGGCAGGAGAGGTGCAGCAGTCATAGGTGGTGTCACATTTGTTCAATGGCGAAACGTTTCCTTAGTAAAGATACCCAAGAGTTGCACATGTGTCTAATTTATCAACATGTCGGTTCTCTGAACCATTCATCTACACTTCTAACATGAAGTGATCAAGGTCCCAGGACCGAAACGTTTTCTAATAAATATGCCATAGTGTTTGCTTACGTGTCTTTCTAAACCATGAACAGTATATACGGTTGAACATTAAAATGGTATAAAATACCGACAGATTGTTAGGTAAGACACATATGCAACAGTTAGGTATCTTTATTTCGAAACGTTTCGCCTACACAGTAGGCTTCTTCAGTCGAGTACAGAACATAAGAACGAAGGAACACTGCAGAAGGCCTACTGGCCCATGCAAGGCAGGTCCAAGTCTCCTACCGGCTTAAGCCAATGCACCCAACCTAGTCAGGTCAGGTCACATTGACTTAAGGGAGGAACACGGCAACCGACCTGGTAGCACAAGCTATCAGGTCTAACTCACACCCACCCACATCTACTCATGTATTTATCCAACCTATTTTTAAAGCTACACAACGTTCTGGCCTCTATAACGGTATTTGGGAGTTTGTTCCACTCATCCACAACTCTATTACCAAACCAGTACTTTCCTATATCCTTCCTGAATCTGAATTTTTCCAACTTAAAACCATTGCTGCGAGTCCTGTCTAGGCTAGATATTTTCAGCAGAAGAGACTTGGAGACGATGTTTGAAACTTTGGAACAATGCTCTTCTCCAGACTGAGGGACTGATCACCTCAAAACTTTAAGGGTGATGGACTGATTACATCGTTTCCAAGTCTCTTCTGCTTCTATCAACTTTTCTGTACTCGACTGAAGAAGCCTACTGTGTAGGCGAAACGTTTCGAAATAAAGATACCTAACTGTTGCATATGTGTCTTACCTAACAGTATATAAGAACATAAGAACATAAGAACGAAGGAACACTGCAGAAGGCCTACTGGCCCATGCGAGGCAGGTCCAAGTCCCTACCGGCTTAAGCCAATGCACCCAACCTAGTCAGGTCAGGTCACATTGACTTAAGGGAGGAACACGGCAACCGACCTGTTAGCACAAGCTATCAGGTCTAACTCACACCCACCCACATCTACTCATGTATTTATCCAACCTATTTTTAAAGCTACACAACGTTCTG